AGCTTGATGCTTATATTGAATCTCTATCCATAGAATTTTCGGCATATTTTGCATAATTTTAAAAATAACTAAGAAAAGAAACAAAAATTGAATTGTTATCATAAACTTTTTATAGTTTTTCATTAATTATGAGCACTTATAGTGAAAAATAGTTAATCTATATATATAAAATTGCTTGTCCTGACTGACTCATTGACTCACTGATTCATCATCGCCCAGAGCAAACCGCTGGACCTAAAGAGCAGAAATTTGGTACACAGTTAGGGTTCGTCATGAAAACGCACACTAAGAAGGGATTTTTCGAAATTCCCAAGTGGGGGGAGAGAGAGAGCATTAAGGCTTAACAGGAAGAATGGCTTCTACTGTACTATTTCGCATGTGATTTTTTGTTACGATTAGTCTTCATTAAGTACTTAGGTGTATTAAATTATAACATTTCAGACATTGTTATAAATATTTTTATATATTTTGATTTTTTAACCAAATGGCGAACCTTTTTAGATTCGAATTTGTTATTGCGTATCGGTTCGATTATAGAACGATTGTAAACGTTCCAGAAAATTGATCAAATTGAAAATTGTTTGTTTGATTCTCGGCAATTCTCATCATTCTCGGCGGTAGGTGTTATATAACAATTATTATGGTTGTTGAAATACTGAATATAAATGGGGTTTGCTTGCAAAACCTCCGCGGGCGAAGTCGGGGGAAACAGCTAGTACACTATAAAAACTTAACTAAAACTGAATTCTGATTAAGTGATCTTTATACACGTATTAGGTAAATTGTCAGTTTAGATTGTCTTTTCATGTCATTGGTTTTCGTGTGTGGAAATCTTGATATTTTTTATTAAGCATTGATTATTTTAATGGTTATTTGTTTGCAGTACAGAAGTTGGAATTTCTTATTTTAATTATATGCTAGCTATTATTGAAGAATGTACAGCAAACAGCAGCTGCAAACAACACTGGATGAATTACAATTAATTAATAAATCTCCAAGTTATACACTTTTTAATTATTTTAACATGTCCTTTTAATGTCAGAATCAATGAAATCAGAATTTCCACAAATTGTAGTGTTATTTACTTATTCCTTAATCTTACTTAAGTTTATCATTCAACTATTATTATCAATATAGGCAAGTCTTAAAATGATTTCAGTAAGTAAATTCTATAGTGTATATTATAGTACTGTGTATAGTATATATATTATTGTATTTGCATAATTGGGATGTAAAAAGAAGTTTTGGAATATGAAGTTTGTATTAAGTTAATAAATTTGAACATTAATACATGTTAAGTATGTTAATAATATGCATATAACTTAAAATATTGTTTTTATAATAAATATATAAATATTAATTAACTAAAAATGGTTTCTGAAATGCAATATATGTATTGTATTCAAATTATTGATTTTATCTGAAATTTAAAATCATGTTTTTAGGAAAGGTTGCAGCAACTTTGTCACTCAGATAGAATGTTACAAGATGAATTCAATACATTTACTTCATTACAGCAAGATCGAGTAAGTTCAAATAGTTATGTATTGATATTTAAAGACTATATTATATGCATATTAAATTATTTAAAAAGTAATATTTAGAAAGTTTAAAACTCTTCCTATTTTATTAAAAATATTTTAAACTTAGTAATATATATGTAATTTAGTAACTTATAATATGTAACTTATATTTTTATTATTATTATAATAATAATATATTATAATAAATTATTATTATTATAATATATGTAACTTAGTAATATATATGTCTAGTGAATATTCTTGTTAGATCAAATATAAATTAGCATCTGGATATATAAAAATTGCATTATTAATATATAAATTTATAATAATAAATATTTTTACTTGAAATTTAAAAAGCATCAGGAATTGAACAAAACTTTAAGCACTCCAATGCTTAAACTATTTCAGCATTATGAAACTTTAATATTCATTGAATTTAAGATGTCCTATATTCTAGTAATTGATTTAGTACAGGCAGTTTCTGATAAACAACTATTTTACTTATGACAGCTGAAACTATTCGTATTTGTTTGGAATAAAAACAAATTATTTTTGATTTCAAACAATATGTGAAAAATCAATTATAAATATCACACAATGCACATATTTTATGCACATACAATTATCCAGATGCTAATTGTAAGTGCATAAAATATGATATATAATTTAGTCAACAATATCCTTTCAGAATAGTGAATGAATTATTTATTTGTTTTAATAAAAGACTGTTTATTCAACCAACATTGCAAAAAGAACAATGTATTCAGTATTTAAAATTAGTAAGACATTGTTTGTTAGAAGTAAAAACTGTTTCCATTAGGTCCTATTGAATAGTTTTATATTAATGGCTATATTAAATAAATATTTATGTTTATAAAGGAGAAATTATTTAAATCATTTATTCAATTTAACCAACTTGTTAAATGCTTTGATTTATAAGTCTGTTTTTTAATAAAATTCACTATAAAAGTAAAATATTTAAATACAGTTTTCATGATGACTCAGGCTATCTTCTAATTTAACTTTGAAGTTAAGACTGTTTACAAATATATACATTTTCAAGTTTGTCCATTTATCCTTTAACTCAACCACAGAAGTAACAGTTACATTGGATTGAAGAAAAAACTACATTAAAAAACAAATAATAATACAGTAGGTAAAAATTCACAAAGTTAAAAACAATATCAAACATCAGCCTTTTATTTGAGGATCTGATGCTTTTACATTAAAAACAAGAGTAAATCATCAGACTCGAAAATGTATATTTTTGTAGTCTTAACTTTAAAGTTAAAATATTTAAATGTTTATGAAAAATGAATCAAGTAGTTTAGCAGAAACATGTATGTAAATTTTAATTGTTATAAGTACAAATATGAGAACAGAATTTGAATTTTTTTTATATCTAGGGTATTTTAGAAATCACATTAGATGGAATTAAGAAGAAAGTTTCAGAATTCAGGAATAATGCTGTAGACATAGGAAGATTATATAAACAGCAACGAATGATTGAAAAAGAATTGTCGAGAGTCACTCGGTTTCTTATGCAAAGTATACAGGTATTTAATTTTTATTAATTTACTAAAGTCATTCTTACTAATATTATTCAGGTATATCTGATAAGTCAAACATTGTATGTAAGCAAAATGATTGTTCGGATGATACATTTGATATGATTGACATGTTGTTGTATTCAGAGATTTGGATGGGAAATCCAATTGTTCTGTACACTTTGCAAGATATCATAAGCCACAGCTTGATGTGTCTCTCATTCTAGCCTTTCAATGAATAAGCAAAGTGATCTTCTATTTCTTGGAGAGAAAAGATGTTTCTGACAAACTGCACTTATACTGGAACCTACTTGCAAAACTGAATTGTCCTCACTCACTTTCTGAAATGAAAAACCTATTGCATTGTATACAGTTTGCCTATGATGTGTGACTATTGAAAACATAGGAGAATTTGTTACTTTTAGAAAGGTTTTCAAATCCAAACATTGTTGAAATCTATTACTTCTACTTTAAAGTTTTTAATATCTTAACTTGAAAACCAACTGGATGATTTTTAAAATGTTACCACTATTATATCTTATTTCTCCAGCATTTATTTTATTATTTCAAATGATTTCAGCAGTTTAAACATCCATCTTCAGAATACGACTTCTAACTGTAACACTGTTGAGTAATAACTATCCACAAAAAACCTTGAAAGTCAGCACCTGAAGAAGACCTTGGTGGAGGTTGAAAACGTTAGTGGATATTGTAATGGACACAACACATATATAAAGGTTTTTTGTGGATAATTATTATCCATCTTCAGGTCCAACAATTTTAAAAGTTGTGTTCTTATCAATATTTGGAACATTCTATTGTAAGTCAAATTTTCTGATATGCAGAATGTATGTTCTAATTCTGATTTCTGAATTTTTTAACTGCTATTTGAAAAGATCTTTTGGTCTGAAGATGGTCATTTAAATGTCTGAAAATGTCGCAATTATCACACCTTATTTCATTATTGTAATATTTTTAATATACAATAATAGACGATTTCTGGTAACTCCCTAAAAAAAGTCTTATATTTTATTAATAAAACTCTTTTTCACTCTTTCAATTGCATCTTCTTAAATGAAACTAATATACAGTAATTAATTCTTTGTAATTTAGTTTTAGTTAGTTCTTACTATTGAATGTTCTCATTTGGCATACAATACACAAGAATAAATCTGTTTAAAAAGTTATATATTATTAGAAATTTTTCTAAATATAAAAGCACATTAGTTTTCAAAACATACTCTGATTATTTATCTCATTTATAGTTTTTCTAACTTTCCATTAATGAAATGTTTATTTTATTTATTTATTAATTCTATAACATTTTTTTTTATTCCATGAGCATTATTAGCATCTCTTTTGATGTCTCATGGATTTAATTTAATGAGATTCACAATGGGAAATTCTCTATGTGAGAAAGACCACCCATAGGAATGTAATGATGCAAATGGGAGAAAATTATTTTTAAAAATGAGGGTATTCAAGATAGAAACAGAGTATCGTCGAATATTGCATAATTATTTTTCATTCTGGTTGAAACTGTTAAATTGAATTTTAAGTTTTAATAAGAGTTTTTCAAATTTGAATTTTTTTTATATACTAAAAAAAAAAATGTCTTTTTCATATAAACAGAACATTTCTTTACTTGTGTCAAAAAAGATTGATATTAATGAACAGCACAGAAAATACTATAACATAAAAACTAATTTGTTTACATATTAACTTAACAAGAATACAAAAACAATATACTTGAAGGCAAGTGTGATTGCAAAGTTGGTGCCATGTCAGAACTGACACCACTGTGTCTTAACAGACATCAAAATCGTGATGGCCATTAACTATTAAGTTCACACACAAGCGGTCATATGTGTAGGTGGTCGGATTCAGGAGAGAGAAGGCCCGAGAGACAGCATGTGAAAGACATGCACTGACCCACAAGATTAACATTAACAAATACCCGTTTATTTACATATCATTTTACATCTATTTATAAGGATTTTAAGCTATTATGAAAATTAGCTATTATAATTGTGAGAGCCGAAATTAGAAGAAACCTTATTATTAAAGAAGGGTTTTGGAAAGGGATTATTTTAAAATTTTGTTGTTCAAATCCAGATAATTTTTCAAAAACATTAATGATTAAATTGGTAATTAAACTGTTTCCCACGGAATTAGTTCCTTGTTGGGAGTGACACATCAAATACGTCACTTTGACTTAATGGGTGAAACTCGTTGATTGAAGCCTAAATATGAAACTCCAAGTGAAGTAATGGGAAAAACCCAGGAGAGACCCCATATAAAGAGGAGGGGACGATGACATTCAAGGCTTTTCTCATCATCGGCTGAGAACCTTCTTATGTGTATGTGTGCATCCCTCCATCCTAAATCCTTAACCCAAATCTGGATTAGCATCTGAATTAAAACCAACCTGGATTAACACCTTAACTTGACCTCCACGGGAATTCTTCAACAAGGATCTAATCAGAGTCCAGGTGTTTATCACCACGCAAACCTCATGTAACTCTCTTTCTTGAGTTGTTAAGCTTAAACCTCCTCCCTCTTTATAAATCCTAAGCTAAATAACCTTGTAAATAGCTTTATAATTAAACAGATATTTGTTAAATGGATTAACCTTGTAGAGTGCATTCCTTCCAGAGTTCTCCTTCTGTCTCCAATCCGAACCTAACCTATGTACGTGACTGTTCACACGCAAGAAACTAACGGTTTCTGTGTCTATCCATAAAGACACAGTGGTGTCAGTCCTGACAGAAATTTGTCATCATGATCTTTGCCAGTGCGATGTCGACCCTTTGGTTCTGTGGTGCCGAAGCATAGGGGGTGTCCTTTGGCATTGTCACATAATTATGAGAGAGAGAGAGAGAGAGTTCACATTTGTTTGTGGGCAGATAACCTTGCAAAAATCAAGAAAGTCAGTTCTTAGTTGTTGGTGAGTTGGAGGATCGTGCGAATTAGTGATTAGGAGGATTTCGGATTGGACATCATTTGATATCAGGATTGTTCAACAAGTCGATTCAATGTGGATCACTTGATGATAGCTTAATAGGACTTGTAGGATAGCTTGGTGATCAGCTGGATGGGTAATGTATCCAAGATGAGTGACAAACTTTAGAGACAGCAAATTCTCGATGATGGACGAACTCTGATCACCATTAATCCCTCCTTTTTATTAGGGGGTATTTTCCATGCCCTTTTTTGGAAATGTTATAGGTTGTGACCAATAGATGAATTGCAGTTGTAAGTTTCTGGTGACACATTCGATGTGTCATCTTGGAAAGGAAATGACTCCAAGGTGAAAGATACAATCATATCCTTTAACATTTAACAAATGCAGAAAAAATTTTAACAAATTTTAGCACAGTCAACAAACAATTTTATTCAAAAATTTATTGCAAAGTTTGGGCTCTCACACAAGGATACAGTATATCTTTCTCAAGTAGCCTTATCTAGAGAGATTGATATATTTACACATTAGAATGACCTTGTTAAGGGTTATTAAAAATTATTAATTATGTGACATCACAAGATCCTGTTCTGAATAAATGAAAAGAGGGAGATGGTTTAGATTCATGAATTTGGACACAGAAATGATGATGATTTTCTATGTTTCACTTTTAGCATGTAAATGCATAGATAAATAATTACTTAACTTGTGAAAAAGTAACTGCAATCATTTTTATAATTTTTAAATATGCAATTGTTCAAAAATTTTAATTTATTTTATATTAAAACCTGAATGTTGAATGCTACTTGCATTGCAAATGGTTTCAATATTATTGTGTTCTAATGTCAGTTTATTCAATTTATTAGAATTTAAAGTGTAGCATTAATTATGTAATAACAAACACAGAACCAATTACCATTGTGAAGAAAACAAAAAACGATCACTGCACAAACATTTTCTAACTCCTTCTATTTGGTCTTTTTATTAGGTCTCAAGTCCAAAAATGTAAAAATCTTGGGAGGTCGTTTGTGACCAATTGCCATACTTTCCCTCTGTTATATATAAAAGCTGAGAAAGTGAAAAAGAAAATTTAAAGCAATTTTTCCATTTCAGAATAAATAACTCATAAGTGAGACAAAAGTGCTGCAGAGTAGAGAAAAATATGACATGTAAGTGAAAAATCATGTAACTGATGTGTATGATGGAGAAAATTTTTTAATGTATAATTGCAAAAAATATACAACTGCTAAACAAATAAACAGGAGTTGGACTGTGTTCCTAGAGGATGACTACAAAGTTTCTATGCACTCTAGTTTGAAGTTATTTTCCACCCAAATTCAATTTTTCCTCATGTTGTTATGGACAACTTCCATGATGACAGTTGTGAATTATTACAGCAGTTCCTAGTAGCCATTTTTAGATCTTTGACTACTGTAAGGTGGAATTTATAAATTTTCACTTTCACAATATCTCAAAGTCCACCAAATTAGACCATGTCTAAGACTGGGAGATCTCTAATACAATCTCTGGCAAAGGGTCTTGTGGTCCGCTTTGTATATCAATAAAATAGCTATAAAACTGTTTTAAAAACGATATTGTTCCATTGTTTAAAATGACATTTAAATTTTATAATAAACTAATAATTTTTTTATTTATAGAAATTAGAATGTTTATCAAGAGAAAATACAAAACTTGAACAAGATGCCATTGCTCTAAAACTTCAAATCAAGCAGCATTTACAATATAAAGTAAATGTAGAGGTAAATATTGATTTATTTTAATTAATATTAAAACAAAAATCTAGTTATTTATTGCTTTGATACTGAATTTGCCATAGAAACATTGACATCGTATCTCTATGCAAATTTTAATTATAATACAAGGAATGAATTCTTAAAATATTTCAGATACTAAATGACATATGAATTGGTATGTATGTATATTTGGTGGCTCATGATCTCAAGGGAGCTATATTGAAAGTTGTGTTGTGGGAACAATGAGAACTATTTAGAGTAAACAACACAACACACCATATTTGTTTATTTATTTTAGTTACATTAGGAAAGATCTGATTAATACTAACAACCCATATAACAATAAAAATAATAATAAAAAACTGAGCTAAAAAAAAATGAAATGGAAGAAATGATTAGAATACATTACAACATATTAATGTAGTAAAACAATCATGAATATGAAAATAAATAAACAAACAAATTCACACCTAAATGCTAATTCTAGCAGTAAATGAACAAATAAACTTTAATGTTCAAATGTTTTTAGCTGTCTTTCAGAGGCCCTCAGGAAAAATGCATAAAACTGAAAAACAGTTCTATCTTTTGAAAAGTTTTAGCTTTCAAATATAGCTGTGTTCTAACTTTTAAACATTTAACACTTTTGAATACAAAGATTGTTACGTATTAAAACATATAAATAAATTATTTTTAACTAAAGCTATAAAAAATTCATTAATAATATAATATAATATAATCCTGTCTATATAAGTTCTCCTCAAGGAGAACTCATATAGACAGGCTATTTGACACACCAGATGCCTGATGTACCATAAATTGAAACAACTCGTCAATTTTGAGAAGAACTTATATAGACAGGATTTTACTATCCTGAAACAGGTGAACTACAGAGTCATTGATCTAGAAGCAAGTGTCAAGCGTAACTTGCAATGTAAATATAAAAAAAAGCTCAACTGGATAATCAAAATACAAAAACAGCATCCAAAACCTAAGTTCAACAATGTTATAACATGTTGGGACATCTCTCGTCCAGAATACTTCCAGAAGACATTCGAATTTGGTCCATGTTCGTGCCTCAATCACCAAATCTGTGTTTGTGCATTCCTAACATGAAGAAATTACTATCTAGAGGAAATGAGTATCCAGAGACATGCAAGGACTATCTTTGATGGAAGGCGCTGATGGTAATTGAAAGCTACAAGCCTGAACCTGATGTACATAAGTTCTGGAATTACGTCAGATGCAGTAAGAACTGGCTTCAATCTAACAACATCACAATGGTCAGATCGGATAAGAGCAAGGCAATTGTAATCATGCGAAGGGCAACCTATGTCAGTATATTCTCAGCGGGTTGAAATTGAGTGTCAACCCGCTGAGACCTCCTACACAACAAAGTTACAGAGTCACATCAATAGATTCACATGCACTGGTCTTGCCGCAATCTTAGGCCTTCAACATTCAATAGTTATCTCCCCTAAATTGCTTGAAAATTTCTGATATCTACAATGAATGAAATGCATCAAGTGTATAGCATCTGCACATAGGTACCACCAGTCCTTAATAAACAAGCTCGCTGCCAACCAGCTACCACCAACACGAGAGTTAATGATGCAGAGCACAATTGGGTTGTTATATCTTACAAACCGTCCCTCAAACAAATTTATAATAGAATTGCTAAGGATTTAAACTTGTGCTTAACTTATAAGAGAAAATGGAACATTTTTCGGCTCTTATCTAATGCAAAAGATAAATCCGATGACAAAAAAGCACCAGGAGTATACTGCATTCCATTGCAACATGAATGTTTCAATAGACATATAACATACAAGGGGCACTCAAAAAAAAAAATCTGAACTGAGAGCATGCTGCCATTTGTAGACGTAATAGAAAGTTCTGCTAGATAGGGTTAGTAGAGACCTTCATGAAACATCTGTGCAGACAGTATCAGTTTGTAGGTTTACATTTGAGCGTAATGTTGTGTTTCTCTTACTGTTGTTTATTTTCGCCTGCGAAGTTCTGGGCATCCTTCAACATCTTGAAACGATGAAAATGTTGAAAAAATCCACCAAAAAAGTTTTAAGACGTCTGCGAGAGGATGTGTAAAGGAAATGCACAGAACTTTGGCAATTAGGTGACTGATTCCTTCATCATGACAATGCCCCCACATACACGGCCTTATGAGTGACCCACTATTTGGCCTCTTGGGGATGGCCTGTTGTTCCCCACCTTCGGTATTCACCAGACCTAGCCTCGTGCAACTTTTTTCTGTTTCCGAGAATGAAGAAAAATCTAAAAGGGAAGCATTTTGATGATGTGGAGGCAGTAAAAACAGCTTCCCTAAAGGCACTGGACAATATCAAGGTTGAAGAGTTCCAGAGATGCTTCAAACAGTGGGGAAAAAGACTTCACAAGTGCATTGCATCTAATGGAGAGTACTTTGAAGATGACTGAAAGAATTTTATAAAAAAGTTAATAAATAAAGTTTTTATACAAAAAAATCCAGTTTTTTTGGTTTCCCCACATACATCAGATCCACGTACAGATCACTAGAAACTAGAATACGGGACCACAAATATGATATGTCCAAGGGGAAGTTTAATACTGCACTAGCCCAGTATGCTACCAAACCCAGGGTTTCTCCATGTTGGAATGAAGCTACTCTTTTACACAGGGCTTTTGACTGACATGACTTGTGTTCGTTAGAGGCTCTTGAAATTTATATAGCGAGCATGAAGGGAGATTGCATTAACTCCGACTATATTCCAGTTCCACAATCGCGGAAGTATTATTTACAATGCCACAAAGCATAACGATAATTTTTTATGTGTAATTATGCATTTAACTTTAGGCAATGTAAAGGAAACAATTTTCCTTATCGAACATTGTTTATACATTAAAACATTGGGCTAACTTTACAACACCATATATTATATTATTAATAAATTTTTTATAGCTTTAGTTAAAAATAATTTATTTATATGTTTTAATATGTAACGATCTTTGTATTCAAAAGTGTTTAAATGTTTAAAAATTAGAACACAGCTATATTCGAAAGCTAAAACTTTTCAAAAGATAAAACTGTTTTTTTTTTTTTTTTTTTTTTTATGCATTTTCCCTGACGAGGACCCTGAAAGACAGCTGAAAACATTTGAACATTAAAGTTTATTTGTTCATTTACTGCTAGAATTAGCATTTAATTATGAATTTGTTTGTTTACTATACAGTTTCAGTTTGTGTGCCAGTTTTTTTGTCTGATGAAAATAAATCATTTAAAAGTTATAAAGAATGCATTTACAAGTATTTTTAAAATGAGTAAAATTTTCATAAAGTATATATCTAAGGTATATTTTATAATTGTATTCTGTGAAATATGATAAAAAAGATCTTTGGGAAATAAATAGCTTTCTTCTGGATGTTAAATTATAACCCAAATAAAAAGCTGCATGACCAGGACTCAGCCATCGGGATTGACTCCATTTCAGTCGATGGCCAGTTTCAATTCAAGGCTAGTCTATATAGGAGCTATTCTTTGTAATTTACAGCAGATTCATATTTACGACTTAGGTTAGTTATTTTGAATTTTTAATTACACATTCTAAAGAATTCGAAAGGCTTGTAACTGAAGAAGATCAGTAAAATCTAATTGAAAAATGTTTTTATTTCAATAAATTTGTAGCTGGATTTATCAAGGCTTATTTTATTTTATTTTATTTTTTTGTTTATTTGAATCTATTCATTTTTTCCACCTGCTTAAATAAATGAATTCTGCTAGTAATTCTAGAGATTGTACTGTAAGTGGGAACAAACAACTGCTTGATGTAGGCATCCATATGTACAGGTAACCCCCGTATGACACGGCACTTTTATAGCAAGGATTCACTCTAACATGGTTTGAGAATTGGGTAAAATCCTCGTACAACATGAAATGTACAGTAATAAAAACTATTAAAAGCGAACTTTATTTAATTTGAAATTAGGGAAATCTCCATACAACAGTTCAATAAACGTGATAAAGCTTTTAAATGAGAAAGATGCCCCATTTGACATTTTTCATTCAATTGCGTACATACTATCAGATTTTCCTGCATAATTTTCGTGAACTATTAGTACTTAAGTATGCAAATTTTCTTTTCCCGCCTTCTATCTATACACATGGTCCTTCTCGAAACTTGTTTCAGTATTGCCATATCTCGACGCTTCTGATTTTTGTGTTGCCAGATGGTTTTTCCCTTATTCCATACTTGCTTTATTCTTCAAGCACCATATAAGGAAATTTATAAAGATCTTTTAACTAAAAGCAAGCAATCTAAAATAACATATTTTTTGCAAAAGATAGAGCATGGATCTGAAGATAATGCAGAAAAATGCTCAGAGGATAAGGATATATTGCCAAAAGAAAATGCCCTTGGTTAATAGTGCTTAGTGATGACAAAGAAAACATTGTTTAATTTATATTAATTAATATGTATCACTTCTTAAGAAAATTTTAATAAAGATATTTATCTTAAATGTGAAAATATAATAGCATGTTTTTTTAATTTTTGGAACCTAATCCCCCTCTTCGTACTAGTTCTGTGTTTCGTATAACACAGCAATTTTTTGGAACATAACTCCCATGTTATACAGGGGTTACCTGTAATACTAGAGTAGGAACACTAGTATTACATATGGGAATTGGATTGAAGGCATTAAATTGTCTTTGTATGATCAACTACAATAGATTTATGGTCTTTTTTAAACCTAATTTTTAATATACATGATCCACTATAATTAAAATTATTGTAATCAATAAATAATAAATTTTCTTGCAGAATTCCTCCACAGAAGAGATAGATATTGAATCAGAATTAAAAAGAATACAGCAAATTATAGATGAACTCTCATCTCATAGGAAAAATATTAATAGTAATGTTGAGAAAGTAAAAGCCGAACTGAAGCACAAGTTTCTAGTTTCAGAAGTTAGAGCAAGTCCAACCGGTGTAGCAGGTTTGTTTGAATTACATATCTTTGCTATGACATTTGTTTTAATCTAAGATAAAATTAAAACTTGATGGTACTAATAAACTATATTTTATTTATTTGAAAATCATTCAGATTTATGCTATGATCAAAATAATAAATTAATTCACTAATTTATTTAATCAGTGTTTTTAATAACATAGTAATGAAGGCCAAAAGTTTTACATACTTTAGCCAATGAAGTTGATTTGTAAAATGATTTACAGGAATCCCCTGCTAATGCATACCTTGTTAGTGTGAACTGATTCTTTGTCTTTCAGCTGTCCTTATGGGACTTTCTTATATCCCTGTTAATGCAAAATTCCTGGTAACTCATAGTGTAAAGTGGAAATTAGGACCCCAGCATTCTCTCCATTTTCATAATATGAAGAGAAGAGAATGAAAATACATCAAAGCAGAAGAAATCAGTGCTGCTGAAGAGGAAATGAGTGTTGAAGATGTTGAACAAACATTCCAAGAATGGGATGAATTTTGCTCTATCAGAGATACCATTGAACAGTTCTTTAATTATGTTTGCATCAATGAATTTTTTGCAACAAGTAATGAAAGAAGTAATGATACTGCATATACACCAACCAAAGCCAAATATTATCGGGCTAGAAATGGCTATAATACTAATAATTTAAAAGACAATTTGGCATTAGAGTTAGGCATTAGGCTCCATCTCTTGATAAATTTAATAATTATAATTTAATTAAATAATTTTAGAATTACCGGAAGAAAAGAATCAGCCCAAGAATCGGCATTAGTTTAAATTATTTAATTAAATTGTAATTATTAAATTTATCAAGAGATGGTGCTTAATGCCTAACTCTAATGCCAAACTATCTTTTAAATTATTAGTATTGTAGCCGTTTCTTGCCCGATAATATTCGACTTTGGTTGGTGTATAGCTTTAATACTAGATTAATTACCTGTTAATCTATAATTATGCGATGTCTATAATTTTAACATCAATGTCAAACATCGATGTTTGCCTAAGCATCGATGCTAAATTTTGATGTTTGATTTCACATCGATGTTTGATCAATGCCCATTGGAACATCGTTGTTCAATCAAGATAAACTCAAACAATTTAAAAAAAAAACAAAACTTAATTTTATTTTCAACTTGTATAGTTCAATTACAGTTCCAATGCATACAGTTCTTCAATTGATAATGAATTTAAAACTAGAAGTTTGTGTACATTCTTTGGCTTTAAAGAACTCCACTTTTTGTTGATAGTATTTCTACCTTTGGAAAATAATCTTTCTGCTGGAACTGAAGTGACAAGAATGCAAAGCCACTTCATGGCAAGTTCACATAAATTATAGTTAAAAAATTTCATGGATTTCCACACATCCAAAGCATTACTATTGTGAGGCACAATAGGGGCATCTAAAAAAGTTTTAAAATTTGAATTTAAAGTTGCATTTGTGTTAACATTTTTTATCTTAATATCAATTTTTCTGGATGACCAAAGGTCATCATCTTCAAGTTTATTTTCTGCATTATTGTGAAAACTTATTTGAGCCTCAGCAGAGGGAAATTTACAAAGTTCTGCATTTACACGTTTAATTGCATTTGCACAACATGCTGGACTTTTAAAATCTAGCTTTTTGAACCTTGGGTCTAGTAATGTGGAAACACTATATACTAACTTCGTCTCAGTGGATTTAAAACGGAAATCAAGATTACTAAAACATTTTTCCAGCAACTTCTTTCCCACATTTGTTTCTGTAGAAACCTTGCAAAGTGCATTAAACATTAACCCTAAAAATGGGATAATTTTACTGATGGTAGTGTGAGTTTCTGCTGAAATTTCATTAGTTACTTTATAAAAAGGTTTTAGTACTTTAAGCGCATCATTCAAAGCACTTAATTCTCTACCAGAGAGCATGTCGGGTGCCCCTGGAAACTTTTGCAATGTTAGTGTAACAAAATTTTTTAGTAGTACAAATCTCTCAATCATCAAGAAATACGAATTCCATCGAGTCTCAACATGCTGAATTAATTTTAATGCCACAGAACCTTTTTCATTCTGCGATGAGTCGGCGTAAAC